TCTTTTTTTTTTTTCGCTCCCTCTTTCTTATTTAGATTAGATTGAAAAAAAAGAAAAGTAAAAAAAAAATCTAAGAACTAGAAGTACACTAAACATTGAAAGAATAAAAAAGACGAAGGAAAGATTAGTCTACATTAATAAATCCTTTAAGCATGAAAAGAACACAATTTCTTCATAATAATACAATCACTTTTCAATATTTCTTTACCTGTATAGGCCAAAGTGAAAAGGTGATGATGGCATTAGACACGATTACTTGATATGTATACGACTTAGCCGATTTGCTCGAATATTTCTATATAGTAGGGTTTTTTTTCGTCCATCAATCGTTGAAAGATGATGATATATTATTTTTTTAAATTGAATGTAATCTACAGTTATCAAAACATTTTGCATATGTTGCAATTCAAGCAAGATAAAATCGACAACGATGTTTTATTGGCAATGAGTGAATTAAAAAACAACAGATAACGTAATCTTGACAATGACAGTGTTCATTCAAATCATGGTCACGATCATTACTATAGATATATATCGTCTAGCTAGGAGAATTATCAGACGTTCGAATCTCATAAGTGTCACGAACGAAGTAAAAAAAACCTGAATACTATAAAAAACGACCTTGATAATACTGACTGCTGAAACGATATTATACTCAAGTAATAATAAATCGTCATCTTGATAGAAAAATCATACTATCCTCATATAAAATGAAGAAACAAAAAAAAAAGAATGAATATACTGAATGAGAGAGTACAATGAGAGAACGTAAGGAACTAATCAGTAGAAGATTTGTTGACACAACTGCTGCCTTCAATAGAATTGAGCCGATTTAGTCGGCTTATATTTATGTATAAATATATATATATGAGAACGGTATAACTGATCTAATATGATATATGAATGTCATTATGACAAGCGTTACCATCATTCTCTATTCACAATACAAAAGGCTCCGATTAATATGAAAGGAAAAAAACCCGAGATGGAAGAAAGGAATAGATAAAAAAGAAAGAAGTGAACGAGTGAATGAAAGAGAGAAGTATAACAAAGGTCATAAAATATAATACAGAAGGAGGTAATCATTAGAGAACAAAGCAGAACCGGATGTGTAATACTCACATTCATTTGTACATCGACTATGAGAAAACGACACAGCTACAATAGGGAGCCGATATTGATAATAATTATACATATAAAATAAGTTTGCTCTATGAACAGAAAAGTTTTTCTTTATAAGAGTAAAAAAAAAAACTTAAGAATATGTTTACATTGTAAATGCAAGCATGAAATAAGAAGAAAAAAATCTATATACATATAATCGTTTAAGTGTTGTTTGCACTTACTTGATGAAACTACACAAATATCTTTGAAATCTTATAAAATTGTTTAGCATAGACATTTAATCGATCACAAAAACAAATACGAGAAAAAAAAAGAAGAAGGAAGATAAAGGAAGACAAGATTATGACGAATGATGATCATAATGACCTAAGCATCGATTGGATTGAACATATAGCAATAAAACTAAAGATAAAGAATGTGGCGCTTTAAGATAAAAAATTGTTTTAGAAAGACATCTGTTGATATTAATCAATTATCCTTGAACAAGTCTCGTTTTCATAAATCATTTCTAAACAATATATTCAAATATATTCAGTCATATCGATTGTATTCTAGGTTGAATCAAACGAAAGTCGTTGAATATTGATGAAAAATCCTTCAAAAGTTGATATTAGTCAATAGATTTATTAAAAGCCGATCAATTCTATTGAAACTTCATACTTTAGTCAATGATTGATTTATATATATATATGCACTTTTATTCATTTTCACGATCGAATAATTATTTTGATATGTTAAATTTTTGTAAATTAAATAATAATAATACGACAAATGAATTTTTACTATATTTATGATAATATGAATACATAATACATTCAATTAAAACGGAAAAAAGTGCCAGAAGCAGTTTGAATCTTCGTTGATGAAATAGATTATAATATTAAATATGTATTATACTTGATATTTTCTGCTACAATAAGCCTACCAGTCGTTTCACTTTTTCTCGTACATCAAAATATTTGTTTGTTATTCTTACCGATTTCCAATAGTATAAACACTTATAATAAATAAACCTCTCATATATATTTAACAGATCTTAATGTACTATTTCAAGGATCAGCAAAAACTTAAAGTTATATTTCTGCTATGGAACAAAAACCGATAGTTATTCGAATTTGTGCAAAACTCTTAGGTTTATGTTTAATTGTAAATAATCGAACAGGTCGGACATTACAATAGAACTATGCAAGTGTTATCTATTTACAAGAATATAATTATCGGGTTTTTTCATCCCTTCAGGTTACGTGGAAAACCGATTTTCGACTTGAAAATTTGCACGACCAAAGATCTTAATGAGATTAGTTCATTGGACAAGTCTTAGTTTTTCCCTTATTTTCTTTCTGAAGCCATAAATATATTAACAAAATTTGCTTTTACATATGAGAGAATTTCGAATATTGAATATCTCAGGATAGGAGATACTAGAAAAATTTCAATTTGTTCAATGAACTAATCTCATTATTCATGCAAAATTCGAAGTCGAACCTCTCACATGATCTGAACGAGGCCACAGCTTTTTGTTGAAAAATCCAGTAAAATTTTGATATTTCAAGAATGAACATCTGAAAAACTAGATTATTCAAGACTTTTCTATTGCTCACTAATACACATAGTTTCGATCGAAAAGCTATTTGACACCTGAAGAGATTCCCTCGTTAGTTATAATCTATTGGCGAAACAGTTGTTAATAACGTACGTATGAGTTTCTTTTTCTTGAAAGTACTGCTTACTGATATATTCGGATACATTCAAACAGCTCAAGCGTCGATCACATAATATAGCTTGCCTCGTTGTATGTATTCCAGAGATGTCCATAGCAAAGCTACTGCTGCGGCGATGAATATCTATGGTATGTTTCGGTAAGTTTCAACATATTAAATATTTGTCTATATTTTTGTAGCACTCTTTGAATTTATATAATTTAATGAGAAAATGTTGTAGTGGAGTTAGGAAAAAAAAGCTGTGAACCAGTAGAATTTATGAAAGTTGCTATTATTTTCTACTGTATTTCCCACGGAGAATTTCTGACTTATTAAAATTTACATTATAGATGTCGCTGGATATGTTTAGAATAAAATACAAGGAGGATATGTAGAAATATAAGATGAATTCGATTAACCAATTGACATGATTCCATGATTCATCAAAAACTAAATTGATTGTTTATTTCATATTTTACAAACTTCGAAAGAAGTTCTTTTTTTTTGTTGTAATTATTTATATTTGTCTTATTTAAGATTTTTCGAGCATGTCGAAAGTACAAAAGCAACGTGTACAAACATTCGGTAGAAAAAAAACAGCTACAGCTGTAGCTGTCTGTCAACAAGGTATAAAAGAAAAAAAAATGTTGATTAAAATTTAAAATAATATTTAATTAAAGGTCATGGTTCAATTCGTGTTAATGGTCGACCTTTAAGTCTTGTTGAACCACAAGTACTTCGTTTTAAACTTGAAGAGCCAATTTATCTTCTTGGTCGAGACAAATTTGCAAATGTTGATATACGTATACGTGTTAAAGGTGGTGGTCGCATTGCACAAATTTATGCTATTCGACAAGCATTAGCAAAATCACTTGTTGCTTATAATCAAAAATATGTTGATGAAGCAACAAAAAAACAAATACGTGATATACTCGTACAATATGATCGAACATTACTTGTTGCTGATCCACGACGATGTGAACCGAAAAAATTTGGTGGTCCTGGTGCACGTGCCAAATATCAAAAATCATACCGTTAAATATTTCAATGGACTTGTTTTGTTGTTCGCTTTTTGTTATTTTTGTCTCAAATGAGCGTGCATGAAAAAGAAAACATAATAAGAATATAATGATGAACGACGAAATAATAAAACAGCTCGATCTGTCAGTCATATAGAAGTTATTTTAAATTTATAAAAAAAAAAACATTTCTTAATCATTTGATTTGATAATTTTCGAATATTTTTAGAATTCTAGAAGCAATAATTTTGATTTTTTTTATGAACGAGAAAAAACATCAGAGTCAGAAGATTTTAACTATACGATTCACTATGTGTATTTATATGTATTTAGTAGAAATAATTGAACCAGATATTTTCATTCTTCATGAAGATTTGTACTCTCAAAAGGCATAATTTCTATTTTAGTAAAAAAATATTTAACATAAGATCGAGTTCCATTGAATCATCGTTCGCAAATTTACTACATAATTAAAATTATTGTTTTTTCAGTACTAAAATTTTTACAAATGTTTTTTGTTGAAATGCGTCGCAATCCGATTTATTCTTCTTTCGGTATTTCATTCATTGACTTTCTGTCGAACGTTAGATAATTATTAATAAACATCAAGATATAGATTTGAAGTATTGGATGAACGTTCCTATAAGAAACACATAATTAGCGTTTTTGGTCGAACACAAGGTATTTTTTTGTTGCTTTTCGTTACAGTAAGCACAAAAATTGTTTCATTGATTTCTATTCAATTGTCTACTTTTGGGTAGGAAATGAGAGGCTACTAGCCTGAATTTCAAATGGCTTTAAAGATAAAACCAAAAAGCCTCTTGTATATCATTCTTTCGCCAACAAATATTAATATTTACTGTATTTATAGTATTCGATATATTGATGCGTACAACTACAAAAAACATATTACGTATGTTTATATTCAACAGATCCTTCCTGTTCAGAATTTTTATACATCTTTAGACGATTGTATTGAATGTTATTCGAACAATCTAATAATTGTTGGAAATTGAAATTATGATATATAAATATCTAAGTAAATAAATAATCGTTAATTACTGATAGATCTTATTTCTTAATCAAAATCAGTTTTGTGCTTTGAAATACTTATTTCAAATTGATAGAAAACATTGGGATTTTTTTAATTTTTTAGATGTGTTCAAATAAACGTAAATCTCATTCTTCAACAAAACCCAATCTTCATCTATTCTTTGGACCTAGTACTGTAAAAAAACATAAACAAACATACGATCAATCATTATTTATATATCCATTTATTGATCCATATCCACTACCATCATTTATTCTTCAAACAAATACAAAAGAATGTCGAATTATTAATGATAAACTTGATTTAGATCTTCTTTATATAACATCATTCATTCCATCACCATGTGACATGTCATTGTATACATTTCTACTTAATATACTTCCATGGTATCGTGTAAAATATTCTAAACAAACAGATAGATTAGTAGACATAATAACACCACGTTATACAACTGTATTTGGTATTGATGATACACAACAATCAAAAGAAAAATATAATCGAACGCCACGAGAAATTCCACCAATACTTAATGAACTTAAACAACATGTTGAACAAATAACAAATACTACATATAATTTTGTTTTAGTTAATTTTTATGTTAATGGTCAAGATTCAATCGCATATCATAGTGACGATGAACATTGGTTAGGTGATCAACCATGTATTGCATCATTATCATTAGGTGCTGAACGAGATTTTTATATGAAAAATAAATTAAATGAAAATCTTAAACAAAATTTTATTCTTAATTCAGGTGATTTAATTATTATGCGTGGTAAAACACAACATGCATGGTTACATTCAGTACCAAAACGAACATCACAATTATCTGGAAGAATTAATATTACATTTCGTCGTGCTTATCTACCTGAAGGAACAAATAATTATTATAGGTAAATATAAGAAATTGATAAACTTGTTTTTTTTTTGTATATTACGATGTGAACATGATTTAGATATAATGTTGGTGATGGTCCAATGTATCGATATATTAATGGAAAAATGATCAAACATGATAGTGATTAGTCTCTCTCTCTCTCTTTTTTTCTTTTATAGTTTTACACTATTTGTATATGTATGTATCAAGTTTATATATTTTTTTTTTTGTCTAATAAAATTAAAGATTTACTATGAAATATTAGCTTGATATTTGTAAGAGAAAGATGAATGGGGTAGTTTCGAAAAGTTAGATTGCATTTATCAAAGCAAAAGAAAAAATCTGCTTTCGAACTGCGATATTGAACAACATCACAAATCATTAAAAATAAAAGACATTCAATATCAATTTTTTGTTTATTTGCATGATTGTCTCGTTAAAATTATCTCATGTAATGATAATCAGAATGTTCTTCAGCTTATAAGACACTACATTTGGTTACGTGAGAGTAATATATGCGTGTTCTAGTTATTTTGAATTCTATTTCAACAGAATTCATTTGGAATAATAAATGAATCTATTAATTTGATTGCAACAAAAATTCATGTTACCCAATCTATCTCAGATTCATTCTTGATCGTTAGTCAAGATTCTTTCCTAAAAGAACAGATCTTGACTTTTTGACAAGATTCATGTAATTTATATACAGTCTTTACAATACGCTAACAAGAAGATTTCTTTTCGTTACTATTCTATTTTCGTTTCGAGTTTTAAGAACAAATATGAAAAAAAAGCAGAAATAACTATAAATTCATGTAAATTCAGATGAAATAGAGAACAATTATAATGATTAAAAAAAAATTCATAGTCATGTCATAAATCTGACATGTTTTATCAAGAACAAGCAAAGAATAAAAACAACTTATATTTAATAGATACACCTATAATTATACTTTGTCTTCTTCATATTCATCATCTAGAATCAATAATGGTTCAACTGTCGTCAATATCCTTTGTTTTCATTAAACTTTCTAAAATAAACTTCAATTCCACCGACTAATGAGTCAACAAATACACTGTTTATATTAAATATGTGCGCTTAACTGATATAAAAAAGATGGCTCTTGCTTATAAAATGGATTAGAATAACAGTTAACTGTCATCATGTAGAAATGAATAAATAATATGCAGACGTTTATAAATATACATGTATATGTAAGTATTACATGACATTTCTTGTAGTGCAGACTAGTTGAGCTTGATTATAAATTTTGATTTATAGAAATAAAAAGATTTTTTTCTCTTCTGACAACTTCAGGCTTTTTTTCAATCAGTGACGATTACACGGTTGACAAAGTAAAGAGAATTCTTAGTTTTCATTTTAATAATCCAATTAAATTTACAATTTTTCTTTGAATAGTTATAAATGTGACAATAAATAGTTCAATAATCTATAAAACAATATAAAAATAAATAAAATAAAATGATCAATGTTGAAATTGTCGTTTGATTTGTTCTAAACATTGTGTAATTTCAGTAATTAATGGATGTGTTTTTGGATAATTATGACGAAAGATTTCTTCAGCACGTGAATAATTATTTTGAGCATCAATAAATAATGATAATTTTGAATCAAGTTTACCCAAATTGAAATAACTTATTCCAATATCAGGATGATTTGGATTAATCTGACCTAAATATTTTATACGTATACTCAAAGCTTCTTGAAGATTATTCATCGCTGCTTCTGCATCACGTTGAGCTAATTGAATACAACCAAGTAGATCTAGAGTTGATGCTCTTTCTAATTGATATTCTTGTCGTTCATTTAAAGCATCTAATGCCCATCGAAGAGCACTACCATAATCTCCTTGATCATAATAAAAACTTGCTATCTATAATAAACAAAAAAAAAGACTAATAGAAATAAAAATAGAATCGAAATAAGGTGACGGAAAAAAGTTTAACAACAAGGTTTTTTGTGATTTTTATCCTATAGTGTTAAAGCAACTAGCTTGAATTCAGATATTGATTTTAATAGCCAATGAAATTTTCTATTTAATACATTCTATATCAGAGTTGTCAGCCCGCTTTGCTGCTGCCTAGCTTGATCCATTCACTTAGTATTGGATCAAGCTAACAGGCCAAAGTTGTTGGTCTGTGTATAATGTAATATTATATTCCTTGTTATAACTCGAAATGTAAGATTTTTTTTTAATTCACTATTTCGTGTAAGAACTTGTCATTATACCATCTTCGTACGAAAACATCAGTCGACCTGGTTTGTCTCGCAGACGCCTGTTGGTAGCACTGTTCTATATCAAGAGTTCATAGATAAAATATGATGGCAAGATTTCTAAAAAATACCTGACGCGATAGTTTTCGGATCCCGGAAGACTATTTTTTAACAGAACCATTTTGAAGAACACAAAATTTTGAACAAAATGAGAGGTCGCCGCTTTTTGTATCACCTTTACTTAAAAAATCAAATGCATCACAAAAATTGTATAAAGGGGATTTATTGTAAAGTTTATTTTTTTCAACGGTTTTTATGATGCATTTAACTTTCGAAGAAAAGAAAAGGTCATTGAAAACGCGGCGATCTCTCATCTTGTTCAGAATTTTATGCTCTTTAAAATGGCATTGTTAAAAAGATATCTTCTATGACCTGGAAACTACCGTTTCTGGTTTTTCTTCTGAAACCGTGTCATCACAATTCATCTATGAAATCTCAGTATACAATGCATCAAATAGAAAATTTCATTAGTTATTAAAATCACTATCTAAATTTGAGCTACACAATTAACATTATAGAAAAAAAAAATGAAAAATACGTTGTTAAATTTTTTTTCCATCATCTTAAATTGCTTACATTATGATAACATGCACCTAATCCACGTTGATTTTTTGTTTGTTTATATATTTGACTTGCCATTCTATAATATTTAAATGCTTGATCTTTTCTACCAATTTCATTATAACACACACCAATATTATTTAAATAAGTTGGTCGATAATGATTATTATGATCTGATAGACAACGAATTTTATTATCGAAATATTCAATTGCAAATTCAAATTCTCCCATATCAAAAAGAAGTTTACCAAAAAGAATTGATTGATTAGTTGAATCAATTTCTGTTTCAAATGTTTGTTCAATATATTTATTAACAGTTAATTGATCATGTTGACTTAATGAAAGATGAATTCTATATAATTCATTTTTTTCATCAAAATTAACTGATTCAATACGAAATATAGATCCAATTGAAATAAGAATTTCTTCTTCTTCTGGATATCGACTAATTTGACGAATATCAGCAAATGGAATACTTTGTTCACTATTTAAATCAATATCAATTTCAAATATAACAGGTTCATCATTATTTTTTGAACGACCTAAACAAAATTTTTTTGCAATATCTTCTTCTAATGTTGTTGATACAAAACTATTAAGTGAAATGAGATCATTTATATGTTTTGAAATTAAAAGAATTAATGATAATTTTAATCGTTGACCACGATAAAGATGAAGTTTATTATTTGTTATTGATTTTTTATATTCTTTATGTAGAATTTTTAATTGTCGACAAAGTAATTTAATAATATAACGATATGAATAAATTACTGATATATTACCAGAAATTAATGCTTCATTTATACATCGAAACATAATAGAATTATGTGAATACCACCAAATAGCATGTTTTGCATTATCATCTAATGATTGTTTTTCAAATTCATCTATTGGTTTTAATATTCGTTCATTTTTATTAAATTTTGTACGAAAACAAGAAATCATTTCTTCTTTAGCTTGTCTATCATCATCTTCAAGTTCAATCATAAAATGATGACATTTATAAAACCAAAGAAAACGTGCTTGATCTTCTTTTAAATTTCGAATTGGATATTGTTCATCTGATTTATCTTTTAATGATGTTGTTTCTATTAGATGGGGAAAAAAAATTTATGTCGATTGATATTTTTCTTTTTTTTTTGATTATTTCGATTACCTGCATCTGTATTATCTCGTTTGTTAAATAAACTAAAAGCAATTGAAACTTTATCTCTATCCATACAATTTCGAATTCTATTAAATAAATCAGATATATCTACACAAATTGCTCGAAGTTTTGGATATTTTAAATTTTGACAATTTTCTGAATTTGTAGAAAAAATAAAAATTGCAAGAATACATATACAATCATGTATGTGTGGTATGACTTGTTGACTAAATGAATCCGAAATAATGAATATAATATAAGATTTCGTATTTTTATCATCTTGTCTTTGTATATAATCAATACAGTCTTCTTTATTAGAAAAAAGTTTTATTTTATCATCCAATTCATGCCATTGATTTAGTTTTTGTTTATTAGTATAATTTTCGATATTTTTATCTAACCAAACCAAATGATGAACATACGATTTTTCTAATGTATTCGGACTTGTTCCAGCCATATTCATATAAAATTTCACAAGAAAGATCTGAAATATTTTTACTTGTAGTCTCAATGAAAAAAGCTATAAAATTCATTCGTTCTATGATGTTAAAACTCATCTAGTTATCGTTTCTCATAAGCTTGCATTAGTATGAATAAATGAAAGATATTGACACATAATTACGACATTAAATATCGTTTATTTCACTTTTTTTTCACTCTCTTCATAGGCAAATAATCAAAGCAGAAGAAGAATAAGAATAAGAAGTTATTTTCAGTCTTCTTTTTCTTTCAACAAAGCCAACCAGCACCTGGACATTATGCAGCACAATGTGAGTACCATTGGTTACGTGCATAGCAACGAAGGCCTTCTGCACAACGTGTTAAACCAACATAACCTTCACCTAAATAAATAAAAATAGATTATATTTCATAATCATATACTTTGATATATTTTGCTTAAGTCATACCTCCACATTGTTCATTTAATCCAGCGACATCTGTTTCACAGGCCCATGTTGATGGACAAGATGGACGACATTCGGAATATAAAGCATTGTTTCGAAAACATGCGGTTCCAAGTGGGCAAACTGCATGTGCAACATTGTTACATTGTGTATAGGGAGATAAAGTGACTGGGGCAGGAACAGTAGTAGGACGTGGTGTTGTATGAACTAATGCAGCACATGCCCAATCTATTTATATTAAAAAAAAAAAGAAACATTTTAAACATATCAAGATAGACTATGTTCTTACCTAATGGACAATCACCAATTGGACGACACTAGAATGATTAAAATTAAAATTAATCAGAAAGTAATGAATAATAATCACTCACTTGAGAATAATAAACACTTCGTGCATAACAAGCATAGGCAGCTGGACATCCTCGTGGACCACCCCAAACATCACCTCCACATTGAGCCCATCCAGCAGCAAATGATGTAATATATGTTTCACAGTCCCAACCTTGATTCTTTGGGCAATCGTGTTGACATGATGAAAACCATTTATTTCGACGAAAACATGTTAGAGTAGCATCACAAGGAAATGCTCCATACCCTTCACCAGCACATTGTTCATAAAGACCTACTGAATAAGCAATGCCAATGATTGCAGCTAGTAGAGTTAACTTGACTAACAATGACGATGTCATGCTGATGGTATTCGATGTTTCGAATTTTAACTTGTATTCAATTATTTTTATGAGTGTCTTATATACAATGATGATTGTACTTTTTGATCCTTGTTTTTGTTATTCTTATTTTACAGTAAATTGCTTGTTGTAATCCTTTTGATAATAGGTAGCTTATTAACCTCTCAAATTTCAATAGTATTAAGAAGCTAAAAACCAATTTAAATTTAAATTTATTGTTTCACAACACAATAATAGTTTTAATTATATATTTATTTGTCTATATTTTTCATAAAAGATTATTGAGTTTTAGAAAATAATTCGAATTGTAATCATAAATAAAAATAATTATTTATTTTGTTAATTATATTACTTGAATTTCCATGAAGAATTAAAGATCAATAAATATAAATCATTTATTTTTCAGTGCAAAAATGTCGTAATTTGACTTGTTTTTTTTTGTGATAAATAACAATTTGTTTTTTACATCAACAAATATAATCATTCATGGTATGTAAATCTATTAATGTAGATTAGATTTATATACTTGAATGATAGAATAGTTCTTATTGATGCTGAAAAGAAAATAATCAAAATAAGATGTCTAAGACCAAAAAGAAGAGTTTTCTTTTTTGCTTTGTGCTTTTATTATTCATGAAAATATCATATGAATAAGATGTTTTCTCTATTCAGATTTAACTGATTGACAAACAATTCTTTTTTTGGATACACTATCGGAAGTATATAAATATGATGATAGTGATGACCTTTACTTCAGTCTTGGACATGTACAAAACTAATCTGTTCTATTAGTAATGCGTCGTTATTTATACGTCTCGTTTAGTATATGCTTGTTTTTTTTTTTCAAGTTTTTCTTTATGTCGTACTAATAAACGAACGGATGCTTCATTTTTCGTATAAAATTAATAACTGTTCCCAACAAATTAATGATGGCAATCATGTAGGTTCTATGAATAAAAACAAAAAAAAGAACATTATCATCATCTGTATCACGTCGTTTTTATTCTCAGAAGGAAGAATGCTCATTTATCACATATAGATCTCTTTTTTTTCTCTGAGGTTATATCCTTGATAAAAAAAACATCCCTACTGATGCTTGCACTTGTGTAGGAGTATACACATTCATTTTTCTTTTTTCTTTTTGCTTTCATATTCTACGATTAGATGGAATTGTATATTGTCAAATGAAAATTTACTTATTTGAGATTACAGAACAAAATCGATTACAAACGATCTATCAATCAATACTAATATAATGTTAATCGTTTTTTAATTATATTAATTAGCTATTTAAAGTTTTATATTAAAATGATTCTTATAAATAATTCTCTTTTATCAACAACAACAACAACAACAACGTCTGTTGATTTATATCTAAATTCAACAGTAGAGATTAATAAAACATCGTCTTTCAGTATAATTCTAACTATTATTATTCTTTCATGTTTAAGTATATCTGGTTGGATTTTTATGTCTTATGCTTTATTCGGTCGATCTCAAGCTTATCGTGCAAAACCAGAAGATCAATTTGGTTCATCAGATCCGACAAATAGATCAGCTGGTAATGACTTTTTCTTCGATTTCGATTAAATGATACAATAAATTGACTTTTATCTATATATATTGATGACCTACTTTATTAATAAATTTGCTTTTTTTTGTCTTGTATATCAAAGAAAAAAACAAAAGATAAAATAGCAAAAACAAAAAATAATGTAATTTAACACTTCCATCCTGCCGGACATTCTGATCGACATTCATGATACCATCTTGAATGTGCATAACATTGAAGACCTTCTTTACATTTTGTTAAACCAATATAACCTTCTCCACCACATGGTGCCCATTCAGGTAATGTTTGTTTTGCACAAAACCATCCTTGTGGACAATGTGCTTTACATTCACCATGAACATTTTCTGTTTGAATAAAACAAGCTGTACCAATAGCACAAGCTATTGGACCATGAATATTTCCACCATGACATTTACCACCAGGTGGAATAACTTGTGGTGATGGTCGAGTTGCCTTTGAAGCTTCTTCAGATGATAAACATTGAGAATAATATTTTGAACGTTTTAAACAAATTAAATTTGCTTGACAAGTTTTTGGACCTTCCCAATCAAGACCACCACATTGACCAAATTCTTCAATAGGACCATCTTTATTATTATTGTTAATATTATTATTATTATTATTGTTGTTGTTGTTATTGTTCATATTAATATTATTATTTGGAACATTTATACCATATCCAACACCAAAATATGATGATGGTTGTGGAATTCGATTTCCATATCGATCATCAATAATATTTTGTTGAGCTATTATAAAATTAATAAATATAGCAAAGATAATAATTATTGATTTTAACATATTGATAATAATTGAAATTTGAAAAGATAAAAAATAAATAAATGAATGAATTTGAATTGATTCATTCATCATGTTTTTATATATGTCTTATTTATAAACAAACCTTGACTAGATTTTCAAAATGTCAATATAACATTTTAATTACAAAATATGACTGAATTTGTAGGTTCAAGAAAAAAATTCCTAAAGAGCATATATATTAAGATACATATATATGCACACAATACATTAACCTTGACAAGAGATTATCGATAATGTAATGATCTACTTATTTGTGATTTAGTATATTGACAAGGACTAATAAACATCTATATTATTATCTTATCTTCATTCATGAAATATATTTGGCGCATATGTTAGATAATTCTTAATAAAATAATGTCAAGTGCTACATATATATTAAGTGATAAAAATGAAACAATGTACGTATAATATGACTATAAAAACTTTTGTTGAATATACAAAAGAATTTTTCTTTTAGTTCATGGACATATGATCAACTTCTTTCAAATGCATCAATTGAAAAAAAAGATTTAAGTCTACTTGGTTTTATTATTGGTATTCTATGTATTATTAGTATTTTATGTAGTCTCATTGTAAGAATTTTCATTTATTTATATGATAAAATATCATTATCTAAGAAATCATTTGTACAATCTCCATCTACATCAAATAGTACAACAACAAATAATATAATGAGTGAATTTTAATTGAAAATATCTTTCTTTTTTTTTTGTTTGTATGATGCTTTGAGTACGTCTTAAAATAGATACAATAGTAATATTAAATAATAATAGAAATGATAATAGAAAATTTATGAAGATTATTTTAAGGACATTTTCGAAATCTAAGCCTCTTCAAATAGAAGCTCATCATCTTTTCTGATGTTTTTAAATTCAAAATTAGATAAATTTAATGTATTAAAATATTATGATACATTTAAATTTATTTAAAACTGCAGACATTTATTCTATATTGCGTTTTTTCTGTTTTCAATTAGAATATATTCTTCTTCATGAACATGGAATTCCACGGTTATGTTGATTCTTACTAATAAAAAAATGTTTTTGAAATTAAGTATCAAAGTAACTATTGTTATCTTTTACAATCAAAGCCAAGGTAACGATGGATATCTGTATACACACAAAGAAGATATATTCCAGTTGAAAATTTAAAAAAAAATGCAATCCAGAATCAGATTCGTATAATATTCATTTCGACCTTTTCAATCTTTACAGATACCAATATATATTACCTGAATAAATAAAATCTACAAATATTTTCGATTATTATTTCCTTAATAGTACTTTCTTAAAGTCATATGATCTGAAAAAAAATAATTGGATATTGATCTCGAGAGAAAGAAAAATATGGCGCAATTTCATATCTAAAGCAGTTACTAAGATATTAAAAGTTATTATTTTTTTTGTCGTCATTTGTGATTGTCTTTAAAATAATGAAATTTAATTTTGATTCAAAAATTCTGTCACATGGTATTATTTTAATATATTTGATTTACGCGGAAAAATTAATATTGATATATCAAATTTATGTAAACGAGAAAAATCAGTTCGAAAAATAGACTATAAAAAATTTTATAAAATTTTTCAATTTTATCTCGAAGAACAATTCATACTTTTTATTTGTTTTTTTGATTGATACTTAGTTTATCGAGTATATCACAGGAAGTTATAACAGATGCTAATTATCTTTGTTTCCTGAAACATCAATATTCAAGCAAATGAACTTATCTTTTTTGGTGAAGAAAGACAGCAGATGGGACTTCAGTTACATGTAAAAGTATCAAGAATTAGTCATATTTTTAGTAAGAAACAGTGCATAATTTTAGAGGTAGCAGTCTGTTTTAGATTATAATACTCTGAGCAGGAAATAGGTGCCGTCCCTCATAATCCTCTTTATCCTTAAGCAATAATGTCGCCGCAATGTCAATGATCTACATCCTTAGTGATGTACGTGTACACAAATTTTCAAGCCTCCAACAGATACAGTGGTCGATATAGGTTAAAGCGAAGACTTTTGACTACTGCTGTAATATTGATATCTAAATAACTATTGAACATTTCTATCTTCATTCTGCTTATAAATCGATCGTTGCCAAACCTAAGAAAGAACATAATGGGTGGTGCAACACCTCTGCATTTATTTTGTTTTTAGTATCGTGTGACAACAACTCATTGTGGAGGCTCAATAGTTTTCTTGTGTTAGAAAGAGTAAAGTCTCTACTACACAATTGTGTAAAAATATTTTGTTCAACATACTTATTCAAGACTAAAAAGTTTTAAGAACATTTTTTACTGAAAAAAATGTCTGACAACTTCACACAATATCAGTAACAAGAAGAGTATTTGATCAATTTGTCTTGCATTCAACTTTCAAAATCGAGTTACAAAATTACAGGCCCCATAGAAAATAGTTTTATTTAAAAAACCTAATTTTTTCCTTCTAGAATATTCAATGAAGTTTTTCTCATAATGTCTAATATTCTGTTTTCTATAATATGCTTTTGTAGAGAGCTCACTCAACTATAATTGGACATCAAATATGGAGTTTCGACTAACTTTAATTGCTAAAAAAATCTTATTTTTCGAAATAATTTATTAATTGTGAACACTTTTCGCTTGTAAAGGCCGTAAGAAAAATATCTATGTCGAACTCAACCAATAATAGGAAAAGATTATTTTTACCTGTTTACAATTTCCTATCGTAGCGCTACAAAGAACTTGTCAGCTTTCGATAAAAGAAAACTATCAAATTTCTACGAAGAGTTGTTATCACGCTATACTGAATATCAAATTAAGGCAGAACTTTTGCACAACCCATTATAAAACAATTTTGATTATTTTTTCTTTCGTTATTTCAAGAAATGGCAATTTTATTTTCTTCAAAAAATTCTATAATTCTCAAAATATTATCATTCTCACTCGACATTGTTATAATACAGTGAAATAAGAAAAATGTATTCATAGTCGATGGTATCTTTGCTTCAAGACTATGCAATGATTGTTTCTATTATCTTAAGAAATCTTTAATTATATAAGTTTATTTATAACGTAGAAATTTTAATTCATTCGTAAGAATTTTAAAATGTTATGAGAATAAAAACGATAAAGATCAATTCACAATCCTATTGAATAATTAATTCGTCATTAATTTTGATTTCGAAAGTAAAATATATAGATTATAATCAATTTTTATCAATGAAAAATCAATGTGAATGATTAAATATAACAAACAATGATAAAATAAAATTAGAGAATGATCTATCATGATTATGTTCATTATCGTTTATTTATTTATAAAAGAATAATTACAACTTTCTTTATCTATCGATATATAATAAAAACTAACAATAAAACAAACCTCATATAACTATAAATCACTATTACAGGAAAACATGTTACTTAATATTACTAATAAATGTTCCAAACATTTTTTCATATTTATTACATTCACCAAGAAAATTCCATGAAATTTTTTGTATTTGATTTTCATTTGATTTCTTCTTAGATGGTTTCTTATAAGTTATTGTAATAGAATTTTTCTCACGTGAATTTAGTTCATTATCAATTAAAATCCATATTTCATAAATCATTTGAAATCGTTCAAGATAAATACGATCAATTAATTGTATTTCATCTAATTTTTCAACAAGCAAAACAATTGAATAAAGTATATGACGTAAATTTGGTAATTCATTATTTGTTTCTATTTAACAAACACAAAAATATAAGTTGAAAATTATTATAAAAGTTAATAGAATATTTACTTTTAATTTTCTGTTGATCATCTTTAAGATAATGTCTAAGTATAGAATCATTTTCAAAATCACTATGATCATCATCGAATATAAAACTTTTTCCTACACGTACAATTGACATTGGTAACATTATATCCAACATATGTAACCAACAATTTGCACATACATTAAATAATGCATGTAAACGTGGACGACATTTTTCTAGTGGATTTTCTAATAAATGAAGAAAAAAAAAGGAAAAGAAGAGAAGAAATTATAGATTTTTTTTAGTTAAATAAATATTTTTTTACCAAAAAATGTACAACATAAACGAATAAAATTGAGAAGAGCTTCAGCACGATAGAAAAATGTTTTTTTAATACCATTTTTTTCAACATTTAATTTTAATGCTTTAAGATTTCGTTCAATTTCAATTATTTCTCCAATCATAGCTGCATTAAATGTTGTTCCATATTCAATATGTTGTTGTATAAGACGTATTGATTCATTTAGCCAATAGTAACTAGATTTTGATAAAACAAAACGTGAACGATCACCAACTGGATCATTTATAATTAAATCTAAGAATATATATATTTTTTTTTAAATTATTAATTATGAATAATTAAATATACTTTATCTTACAATCATTTTTTGATTTACATTCAAATATTTTTATTGTATTTTTTATACATATTGTATGAATATTTTTCCAATGTGATGTAACATCAATAGAATGCTCCATTTTTTTCTTAGATATTGTATTGGATTCTTCAGAATGAAGACGTTTTTTTATTGATTGTTGATCATTGGATATAGTTGATTGTGATAATGAACGATTATTAAATATAATTTTACTCATTGATGATCTATAAAAAAAAAAATTAAAGTTCAAAATAATCTATTATCTAGTTGTGACAAAAAAGAAATTAGTTATGGATGTCTCAAACACGCGGTAATCTAGGTATTTCATGGATGTATATAGATTAGTTACTATTGGTATATTAAAAAACAAATATTAATACTGTGTGTGATTGGTTTTTTTTTGAATTTAATGTGTAATTTGATAATGATAACAAGTAGAGAATTGTGAAATTCCCTTATTTGGAATGAAAAAGACATGCAACACTACTATTGATATGCTATTCGAAAAGCATCATATTTTGATTGACAATGTTCACGATAATTTTAGAGAAGTTAGAATAGAAGATGCAGTGTAATAAAGAAACACAATGATTTCTCT